ATTAATGGCTCTAGGCTGGCTGAGCAGTAGACACCAGGGACACTAACGCTTTGTCCTCGCTCGGATCTTTCGTCAAGGTACCACCAAACTCTTTATTCTCCTGCTTTTTAACAACTTGAGGCAGTCCTGAACATTCCCATCTCTGTTACTGACATTCTGTTCTTTGTTCCTACTGATGTCCCATTGGGCAGAATAGGTGTGTTGACAGCTGCCGGAAAGCTGAAGAGGCATAAGGCACCGAAGTCTTAACCACTGTGGCAAACTACAAATGAATATGCTCATTAGCCTTGGACTCCAATTGAGAGGGGTGGGGCACTGAAGGTGTTGGGGTCAGGCCAGGCCTGGAAGAGAAGTGTCCTGCCTGGAGATGCCAGTGTTTCAAGATGGCGCCTTACACAACATTTTGGTGCATGGCAGTGCTCCAGCAAGTGGCCTAAGGGGAAGTGCTTGAGTAGGCCTCGCTCACATAGTCTATGGACATCTCCCTGGTCCACAGTGAAGGAACGTCAGATCTGGAAGGTATCCTAGCAACCATTTTATCCAGCGTGCGCATCGCATGAACAAGGAAACCTGGAAAAGTGATGTTTCCGCTAGTTTGTGGTCTTCTCTCTAGATTCAAAAGTGTCTGCGGTCCTGCTGCTCTCACATCTGGTTCTCCCATCAGCTCCTTGAGGTATTTTTTATCCCCACATCATAGAAAAGGAAATGGAGGCCCATCCATACGAAGTCACCTGGCCCAGGCACTCAGCCCCTTTGTGGTGGAGCGACGACAGAACCCAGTGCTCCTGACTGCTCCTGAACTTTTATCCACCCAGCCCTCCCGCTTGCCTTGATGAAATCAGGTTGGCGTGAAATCAAGAAGCAAGTCCTAAGAACAAATGGGCTGACAAACCGTGGATTTAGAGGCCACGCGTAGATCTGTGCAAAGAAATGCACCTAATGTAAATTTAAGCAAATGGGAGGACTCCTTTCAACAGTGATGTGGCACATTACAGCAAGTGTTTATGAAGATATCCACTTCGCAGTCATGATTTACTGTCGTCTCCAATAGAGGACCCAAGTTTTGATCAAGGATGTTCAAGTTCATGGTACCCCTATATAGCTTTATGCTGCTTAGTCATCATTTTGCTTCGGTGGGGGGAAATTCTAGCATTTTGCTTTCAGCTCTCTTTGTAGAATCTCAGATTCCCACGCCCTCAGTTCATCTTCACTGCTCCGTCCTTTTCTTTCAACAAGCCTTAACTGAATGGTGTCATCCAAATGTTCTAGAAATTGAGTTTACATTGAAGAGCATTATCATGTAGACAGATAAGAAACTTATGCCACCAAACCATATACTCAACATTTAAATACCTGGATACCGAAAAAAATCAAGGACATCTTCAAGTATTGGGTTAAAAGTGGGTTTGCACCATGTTTTTTGCAAGTTGCCTGCGCTGTATCCGTGGCTGCTGCTGATCAGAGCCCCCGGTGGTCCGGGTAGGAATGGAGTTGGCATCCACCTAGATAATTTAAGAATTTTGGTTCCTGTGCTTGTGGGTCTTAGAGTGTAGGGTAAAAAGTTGAATCCTGGAATCACATAGTCTAGAGTTAAAATGCTAGTTCAGCCTCTTATCGTACGTGTGAACCTTGGACAGGTTATCTGATTTCTCCAGTATTTGCCTTTCTCATGCATAAAACAAGAACAGCACCAACCGTGAACAGCTGCTGTGAAGATTGAGAGAGTGGACGCAAAGCGCCCAGCTTTGGTTAAAGGCGGTAACGTGGTCGGAATCTGCTCTGTTTCGTGGGCCCTAAGTAGCAATTCTATGGCCAAGTGTTGCTTGAAGGAATGAATGAATGAGTGAATGAAATATACTACTGTAGACAATGTTTGTGTCTCGCCAAAATTCGTATGTCAAAACCTAATCTCCAATGTGAGGGTATTTGGAGGTGGAGCCTTTGGGAGGTGATTAGGCAGAGCATGCAGCCCTCATGAACGAGATTAGCACCCTTATATGTGAGACCCCAGAGAGCTACCTTGCCCCTTCCGCCATGTGAGGACTCAGGAAAAAGATGGCCATCTGTGGACCAGGCAGCAGGTGCTCACTAGATACCAAATCTGTTGTCACCTTGATCTTGGACTTATCTTGGACTTCCCAGCCTCCAGAGCTGTGAGAAATAAATAGGTATTGTTTACACCACACAGTGTGTGGTGTTCTGTTATAGCAGCCCGGACTGGCTACGACATATGCCAGAAGCTTGACTTCTCTTCCACAGTTGCCCCATCAGTTGCTGAGATTTATTTGTCAGAAGCCCTTGTCTGCAATTAATGCTGTTTTCTGACTCATGCACTCAGTAGATGTTTCTAGGCGGAGTGTCATGGTGGGCTAAGAGTGGTGTCCCTCTGCTCGAGTTTGGATCTCGGCCCCGGCCCTACGGGCTGAGTGACTGGGGTCTGTCAGTTACCCTCACGAGATCTCAGGACCTGATCCGTAAATGGGAAAGAGCAATGAAGGATTGACCGCAGAGGGTTTCCGGGAGGCTTCAGCGAATCCATAGAAGTTCGTGGAGCAGTGCCTGGCCGAGAGTAGGCACCGTGTAAAGGCTGGCTGTTGTTATTTTTATTGTGACTGCAGTGGGCGTAGTCCTGCCCTCGACCTTGACAGATACCAGGAGGATAAGAAGCGGCCTTCGCAATCCTGTGTTCTCTCCCGTCAGCTGGTAGAGACACAAATGGAAGAAAAGGCAGGAGCCAGGTAGTGGGATTGGCAGCCACGAAGAGTTATGAATTCTTAGGAGAGAAAAACCACTGTGGCCAGAGTATGTAGGGAAGATTCCATGAGATGGGGAGTCAGGCCAAGAATCCACTTGGGCCTGCCCCCTCCGTTGACCTGGGGTTTTTCTACCCTACACCTTGCCGGAAACCTGAGTATTAAAAGCATGGAGATAAGACTGTGTAGTGTGGCAGAGACCCAGGGAACAGGGTCATCGCTTAACACAGTGGTGGATTGTTCTGTTTGGCAGCAGTGGGTAGGGGAAAGGAGGGTGGAGAGAGAAAACAAGTTAGAAGGAAAAAGTAAGGCTGATTATAAAGGGCCTTTGCTTACCTGCTTCAGAGAGCAGGAGCAGAGGAGAGCTCTGTGGGAGAGAGCCTCTGTGGGGCTCTCCTCTGTGGTCTGATTTAGGTAGTTACAGGTTTGTAAAGAAATACACACGGTTCTGTGCAACTGATTGTAAACTTAATAGCAGCTACCATATTACTATGAAATAAACAAACTACATATTTTATATATTCTTCATAATCGGGCAGTGAAGCAGGCAATGAACAGGGCATGGATTGAGGAGGAGAGAGAAAAGGGAAGGAGAATGCAAACACAGGAATCTCCTTGCATGGAGGAACATTCCCATCTGGTGAGCGTTTCATTTATTGCAGAGTCTGGTTGTTATTTTGCTAACGAAGCAGAAGTGCCGATGATGTTGCATCTGGTGGGAGCCGGGGCACATCCGCTGCCCCGGTTTGGCTGATGAAGGTGGTGTTCTAGAAATGTGCATATTTGAGGTAGTGTGCAGGCTGCATAGGCACGGTGCAGGGAGACCCCCCAAGGAGCCCCGTGCAGCCCACCAACATGTAGGATGAGGGAGCTGGGCAGGTGCTCATAGGACAGACGCCTTAGGAGTGGGATTTCCAGGACCCCCACAGGTGAAGGGGCTGACAGAGAGCAGAAGGGAATCTCTGCCAAGGTGGTAATGCAGAGAAAGGTCGGGAGGGGTCAGCCTTCTGGGATAACCAGATTCTGCACCTGCAAACCAGTGTTGCCATAAGTGGTGGGCAGAGCATCCTAGCGAGGGAGTTAGTGTTCACTCAGAATTCCTGCTCCCTTCTCCTTGCCTGATCAATGGAAAGTACAAACAGTGAGAGAGTTCAGAGCTATGCACTGGGAATGCCTTTGGCCCCACCCCACCTCTAGCCAGGGAGCTGAGCATGGAGGGCCATGTTACTCACACAGGTCCCCAGAGCCCCGCTCGGCCTCTATCCCCCCAAGGATTCCAAGTTCCCAGTCACCCCTGGCTACCCTGGACCAAGCAAGGTGATGGTAAACCCCACCAGACTGGGTTGCCCCTTTGCAGAAAACACCTGCCGCGGCCTAGACCACCGGCAGTGGGATGGCCTTGACTCTCCTTGAGGAAAGGCTGGTGCAGGTTCCTGATTGCCCTCTGACCCCCACATGGACCCCCAGCGCCTCCTTCCCTGCCTGACCTCTTGCCTTCTTTTCTTGAAAGAAGCATTGTTTTCCACACGCAGTAATCATTCATGCACCTTCATCCACACCTTGTCTATGAGTCCCTTTAAACTGCCAAGCGTTCCGTTGATCAGCAGCTTCCTATGGAGGCAATCAGTGAGGAGTGTTGGGGGCAGCGAGGGGAGAAGCCAGCATCTCTTAGCCAAGGGAAAATTCCCAATTTTTTGATAAAACGGTTCCAGGCCACACCGATGGGTCCAGCCTCTTTTTCTTCCACGTTTGGTTGTGAGATTCGTTTGCCCCTGTGTGCCATGAGCGCTCGGAGCCCGGCCCTGGCCGACCTCTATCTTCTTGGGCTGAAAAAAGTGCCCCGTGTGCACTGCAGCTGGGCCAGAGACGCAGGGAGGCCTAAGCATTGAGCTTCTGGAAAGAGTGGTGCGAACCCAGGGAGACAACCTGGAGAGTCGGATCTCTGTAACAGAAACATTTAACCAGTGCACACTCCTCCTCTGTTTTGCTTTTAATAATGGTGAATCGGCTCTACCTTTGAAGCTGTGTTTCTGTCCCATGCGAACAGAGATCTTCCTCTGCATCCCTCCCTCTCTCCCTGCCCGCCTCACCCCACATCAGAAGCTAGGTGTTCTACAGCGATGTGCCCCCGTGCTAGTTGAGCGCATGTGAAATCAGTGGTGCCACCTTACTGTGTCAGCCTCTGTGCCTTCCTTCCATCCTTCAGTTGAGGCCTCACGGAGCCCTGGCTTCCCTCTCCTGCTGCAGGTTTTTCCCACTCGGCGTTCACGTTCGGTATCGAGAGCCACATCAGCCAGTCCAACATCAACGGGACGCTAGTGCCGCCGGCTGCCCTCATCTCCATCCTCCAGAAGGGACTGCAGTATGTGGAGGCCGAGATCAGCATCAACGAGGTACGTGCACCCCCAGAGACCCCCCAGCCAGCAGCCCCCCAGGAATGGGGGATAGCTCAGGAAATATGTCCAGATCTAACACGCGGTTCCCTGAGGTCTTTGACAGTGAGTTGGAGTGTTTGTTTTTTCACTTTGTGTTAATGTTTATTCAGTTAGGGCATGGTGATCATGTCGATACGGGCAGAGCAAGCTTTCAATGCCCCGTACACATTTGTGTTTTCCATGTACATGTACACAATCACCGGTGGTTGACTCATCGTCACTATTAGAATACGTTGCTGAATCTGAGAAACACAGCAGATTTCCAGCTGCTTTATACTCCAGAGCAGGCGTTAGCCTTGCAGACGCACAGAAAATGCTCCCCTTGATTTCTCTGAGCAGGTCGGTTAAAGTGGGACCCCGTGACACGTTCAAGTAGCATCTCTATTTCTTGTGAACGACAGAGGGCACAACCAGAGAATCAAGGAAAGAGAGATGGTGACTGTTGTGTTCAAAAGGATGTCAAGTCGTGGTCTTATTATTGCACTCATTGTAGAGCTGGTGGGGGGAGAATGGAACAATAATTATGAATTAAAATTGTACCGATTTGCTGGTATCCCCTCTCTCTTTTTAGATTGGGGCACGATGAGTAGTCAGGCCAATTTTACACCAATTTTTAAAGTGGTTTATTTTGGTTTAATACAGCTCTCCTGATGCCCGCTCCTGTTTTGCTTTGGGGTACTCCTGTGAAGATGCCCAGGGCTCGCTGTGACCTCTGCGACCTTTCTCTTGGAGATCATCCAAGTCCCTGTTGTTTACTCCGCACTTCCCAGCTCCTTCTGTGGTCCCTGCTTTCTCCCACCTTGATCTAGGCACGCTTTTCTGCCCGACTTCCCTGTGTTCCACCAGGATCCCTCCTGCACAACTGAGGCCGTCGAATGCCCACGCGTGCCCTCTGTACTGCCAAATGTCCGAGGGTCGCTGGCTGCTCAGAAGATCCCTTCCACAGGTCACAAGACCCTCGGGCCCATGTCCTTGACTCCGTCCAGAGTTTCCTCCATCCTGTTGTCCTTTGACCTGATGTCAGCCTTACCAGCCTGTCTTATTCATAGCATTTAACTCTGTGCTCTTTCTTCCCTGACAGCGGCCGTCTCCTCTTTCCCTATCTTACACTGGATGCCCAGGGCTCTTGCACTGGCTCCTCGACGCCCATCTGGTCTCTTTTTCTGCACAACAAAGTGTGGTGATAGGAGTACAGGCCCCCAGAAGCCCCCACCGTCTGTGAGATGATGTGATGCTACGATTCGACTTCCCTGCCCCCTGGTTTCCATCTCTGACATCTGTCGAGAAGCCCTCAGCCCTTCTCTTCCTCGGCAATGCCAATTCCGCTATGTCTAGAGGAGCATGGAACATCCTCTTGTTGGTCACTTAGGTTTCCCGTCATTAAAAGTGAGACAGCGTGCTTTTAAAAGTTCAAGCTAGGAAGTGTTTTTATTACTCTCGTCAGTTCCTACTTTTTGCAAAGTGTTCATCCATTTGATGCATGAATATACGAAGGAGGAAGATGACGTGGAAGTGGGCTGACCACTTGGTCAACATTGGTCACTCCATGGCTGGAACCAGGGGATGAGGGTGGCTGACGAGCTGACCGGTTACTTCTTTACATTTTTGTATTGTTTTATATTGTTTCCTTATTTTCAAATATTGTAACCAGAAGTCGGCGGGGGGATGGTTCGTTTAGCTGAAACTCATGTCTTTCAATTCTTCCTAATCTGATGTAACTCAAGTTCAGAACATACAAAAACATGTTTGCACATGCAGCAGACACAACCCAGAGGCACTGAGTTTCATGTGACTCTCTAATAGTTGGAGCACTTTCTAAGGAAAAGACTTTCTCCTGTATTTTTAAGGGTGTATGGAAATTTTCCATTATAGATGGAAACCGGAGAATCAAAGGAGGTTCAAAAAGCCTGAATCAGAACTAAATGAGACTGAATTTTGTGTTACTCCCGTATTTGGAGTAGTTGCTACAAAAAGAACTTTTTTCCTCTATTTTTTAAGGGTGTATGAAAATTTTTCCATTGTAGAGGGAAACCAGAGAATCAAAGGAAGTTCTGAAAATATGAAGTAGAGCTGAACAATGCTGTTGTCGGTGTATCGTGGCTTTAGTCTACACCCTGAACCCAAAAAGTCATTTCCAATGGCAGCAAATGCGTATTTTATTAAATCAGATGGACGGATGTACCAGGATCAGCTCCCGATTGGTGCAGGAGTCTGTAATTTGGGCTTGAGGTTTCTGACTTGAAAGGGTAGTTATCCTCAGAGCTGTCCCACATGTGTCCTAGCATATGGCGGGGTTCCTCAACCTCAACATCTTGACATTTGGGGACCAGACCATTTTTTGTTGGGGAGGCCGCCCTGTGGTGCACTGTAGGATGTTGAGCAACACCCCTGGTCCCTACCCACTCGGTGCCAACAGCACCTCCCCGGTTGTGACAACCAAAAATGTCTCCAGATGTTGCCAACATCCCGAGGGGGCCGAGTCCTCGCCGACCCCCGAGCAGAACCACTGCATCAGGGATAGCACTTTCTGTCATGAAATCAAGTAGAAAGGTTCCGATGTGCCTAATGCCCTGATCCAGTTTGATATTTACCAAATGCTGGGTCTCCCACTGAGGATGTTCACCCTTGCCCGCTCCCCTCATCCCACTCTGCCCACCAGCCCCTGCCCACCGTGGATCCTTTCACGTCGCCCTGGACGCCTGGTGCATGCCGGCTTCCTCCGTGGCCCCACAGCTCCTGTGTGCCAGCGTTTCCACTCCGCTGTCCTGCACCTGTCTTCTCTGGGGCACAAAGGCCCCGTGCCAGGAGATGCTGTGCCGTGGGAGCTGATGGGCGTCCCCTTGGCCTTCTCCCCAGGATGGCACGGTCTTTGACGGCCGCCCCATAGAGTCGCTGTCCCTGATCGATGCTGTGATGCCCGACGTGGTGCAGACGCGGCAGCAGGCCTTCCGAGAGAAACTTGCTCAGCAGCAGGCCAGCGCGGCGGCAGCAGCGGCAGCGGCAGCAGCCACGGCGGCGACAGCAGCCACGGCAACCCCAGCAGCTGTTTCCCAGCAAAATCCACCAAAGAACGGAGAGGCCACGGTGAACGGGGAGGAGAACGGAGCACACGCAATAAGTAAGTGCTGGACTCCGGGGGTTCACGAGCTTCTGGTGGTTTCTCTCTTGGGTCTAGATTTGGGCAAGTCCAGAAGACTCCTTCCAAGTCTGCCTGCTGTACCTGTCTCGTGAGCTGCTTTGTAGTGTTTGTTGCTGTTCGGCTGAAAGGGCTTCACACTCTCGTTTTTCATCAGATTCCTTAGATGTGACATTTTTACTCACACATTCTCAGTGTTAGGAAATCATGCTACTCTGAGAACATTTCATGTCACAAGGAAAGTACCATGTGATTACTGTGTGACATAAAAGGGTTTCATATGAGGAGGCCCCCAATCCCATCATCCAGCCTTCCGGGTTGAGGGTGTTCGGCCACATTCTGGTCTAGCAGTTGAGCTCACGGTTACTGAGAGGGCACCAGGCCCCCCAGACAGCAGGTGCCATCTTCTTTGGTCTTCGCAAACCCTGCAGATTAGTCCTTGTTAAGTATTTGCCTAAGAGTATGTGGCACGTAAGTCAGAGAGCCCGAATTTTTACCCAGAGAACCTGACTCCACTTGGATGTGCTGCATATAAACTCAGAGACTGCTTCAGGGTCTGAGTTCAAAGCATGCTGATGTGTGTGTGTGTACATGCATGTGTGCACGTGTGCGTGCTGTGTATTATGCACACGTGGCATATGAGTACTCATGTTTTGCATGAGTGTGTGCATACCTGTGTGCAAGTGGCTGTGCATACATGTATGAGAGAATGTGTGCATGAGTGCATATGAGTGTGTGCACATGTATTATACACATATGTGTGTTCTTCCTTCTTTGAAAATTGTTTTCCTCCAAACAGCCGTGCAGCCCCAGCAGTCTGTGAGGGTGGAGATGGCCGTGGTGTTGATGCCTCGCCCTGTAGGTCCAGCCTCCATGGCTTCCTCTTGTGCAGCTGGCTGACCACCTGGCCACCTCAGATGAGGCTGCAGCCCACAGCTAAGCCCCGGGGCAGGTTGTCATCCATAGGCACAGTGAACAAGTTCTTCAAGTCTCTTTGGCTAGAGATTCAGATCTAGTACTGAGAGGAAAGCCCATACAGGCTGTAATGCAGATTACATTACAGTAGGATGACTTAAAGCCCATCTGTCTAGGGGAAAATGAAAAGACCTTCCACCAGCAGCCTCCATAATCACTATTAACCAGGTCCAAAATGATGGGGTGGGGGAAGAAGAAGAAGATAATAGGTGGCTTGTACCCATAGGTCACGTATTGGTTGTCCACTCATGTGGAGTACAACCCTCAAATTTTCAAGACTAAAACAGGAGGATGATAAACATAATTGTTTTCTTAGTCTTCCAACACAGAAACCAATTTGTAAGTGATGAACCTCTAGACATCTGTATGTCTGCCAAGACAGAAATTTTGGAGAATTTTAAATTGCACCAGTTTCTTTTAAATCTTAAGAAACGCTAATGGAGCTTGGCCACGTAGAGACTAGCGTGCAACACGCAGCACGCGGGCAGCTCGCAGACAGAGCCTTCATTTCACGAGGACCAAGGCAGGCTGCAGCCACACTGTAGTGTCTGGAGTTGGATTTCATTCTGACCTTCAAGAATCTTTTTTCTCCTGACGCTTGGGGGAGGAAAAGCCACTTTCCAAGATGGTTCTCTTGAGGGTGGCAGTTGTCTCCACCTTTGCCAAGCCTACCCAGGAACCCAGAACCAGGATCCCACAGTTCATCCAGGGCAGGCTCGTTCAGTTAGAAAGCCTGGAGGTTCTGCTTGGCTTGAGAAGTCCGTTATGAAGGAGGCTTGTCTAAGAAAATAGCATTTGAGTCCTAAGAATTTGAGGGTGTTTCAAGGCAGGGGGGTAGAGGGTGTCAGGCATTCTGAAAGAATGATGGCATCTACTGATGGGAGCTTCAAGATGAAGAGGTGATACCTCACGTGCTTCCCAATAATTAATGTCTTGTCCCATCAGAGAACAGGAATCTTCCGCTAGCTCTTGTCGTCTCTCTCCAGTCTTGTTCTGGTTGTTGCTAGACATTAGCCTGGTCCTAGTTATAAAGAATAGATAACAGTTTTTATTCCTCTATCAAATTTGGAGACTGTTGAAATAAAGAAATATATCATACTTACTGAAGTACACAAAAACCGTGATTTAGTTATAATCATCAGAGGTGATATACTTAGTATATGAAAAGAAGGTGTTTCTCCACTCCTCCAGCCATGCTGAGGCCGCATCCCACATACAGCAACTAGAAGGATGTGCAGCTATGACAGACAACTATGTACTGGGGCTTTGGGGGAAAAAAAAAAAAAAAAAAATTTTAAAAAAAAAAAAAAAAAAAGAAGGTGTTTCTAAAAGTGAAGTGCCCTGAGAATGAATTTCTTTTGTATGGATCAGTCATGTGTTTTTTCCTCTTTCCTACGACAGATAATCACTCAAAACCAATGGAAATAGACGGGGATGTTGAGATTCCACCCAACAAAGCCACAGTCCTGCGGGGCCATGAGTCTGAGGTGTTCATCTGTGCCTGGAACCCTGTCAGTGATCTCTTAGCTTCTGGGTAAGGATGGCCGCTGGATGTGCTCCAGGGTCTGGGGAATCCAAGATATTCAGTCTTCTGGAATTCTGCCTCATGGAGCATGCACTTCCCTCTTACCTTGTTTGTGGCATCTTCCCAGTGTGTGCAGACCAACGCCTGGGGTGCTCCGTGCGCCATTCCTCCTCAGATTGTGGAGAAGTCTTCATTCTAAGCCTTTTCTCAGTGGGGTAGGGAGCAGTGCAAAAATGACTAAGCACAAAGATCGGGAGGAGAAAACACAGCGAGTGAATGATATTAAAAAGACGGAAGGCCACATACCAAAGATGCCTGACCTAGCCAGACGGCAAGTAGTGATGAGCTTCAGTTTCACTTGAACCGACTGTGAAATGACTGTGCGTTTTCATTCTATAGATCCGGAGATTCGACTGCAAGGATATGGAACCTTAACGAAAACAGCAATGGGGGCTCCACGCAGCTCGTGTTGAGGCACTGTATACGAGAAGGCGGACACGATGTCCCGAGTAATAAAGATGTGACCTCGCTGGACTGGAACGTAAGCATCTGCCACCTCCCAGACGCTGTAACATGTGTAAAGCATGCCAGGCGTCATGATGGAGCCCATGTGAACACAAGGAAGCAGAGGGTCCTGTTTGTCGCGTGCCCCGGGGCCTAGTGTCATGGGGGCTCTCCATTTCTGGGAGCTGCTAACGAGGCTGTGTTGGGCAGACAGCTAGCTGGGTGTTGAGGAGCCATTCCACATGTTTGCAAGATGAGTCTTATGGTTTTATTGGAGGAGCTAGGCCAAGGGGACCCCCAAGATCCTTGTGCTGGGGAGATGTGATGTACAGCCAGGAAAGATGACCTTGCCCTGTGATATTCCAGCAGGGGGTGTTATGTGCATTTATACATGGGACACACATGGGTCTTTATAACTTCTTTTGACTTTCTCTCGCTCTTGATAGTGTTTCTGCACGTTCTGTCATTTCATCACAAACGCTACTCTTTGCTATATGCAAACACATTTTTAAAAGCTTACTTAAGTCTCCAAAAGTCTCCTTATAACTTGCCGCATGGTATTTTTCATTTTGTCATTGGGTGAATGGTTGCACTGTATTTTCCTTGCTCCATCTCCTTGGTTGTAACTCTTACATCTTAAGAACAGTGTGAGCTGAAGTTAGCGTCTTACCTGGGAACCGATTATTGACGTTAAGAATATTCCAGGGCCAAGGTGAGAGGCTCTCCTCACTCTTTCATTCCTGCCCTCCTAAGCTATCTTTTCGGTCTGTGTTTCTTCCTGGCCCGCAGAGCGATGGCACACTGCTGGCCACTGGTTCATACGATGGTTTTGCAAGAATATGGACGGAAGATGGTAAGTCCTGCGTCTCTCGTGTTGGGGTTGGAGAAGAGGTGCTATGATATGTAATCGTCGAGTGAACAGACCATGACTTTGAAGTCAACAACAAAACAAGTTCGTTCACTTTTGTCTTTTACATAACAGGTAACCTGGCAAGCACCTTAGGCCAACATAAAGGCCCCATCTTTGCCTTGAAATGGAACAAAAAGGGGAATTACATCTTGAGTGCTGGTGTAGACAAAGTGAGTATTAGCTTAAAATACATCTCTTTGATCTACAGATGCTTATTTATTTTTAATCTCTGGATAACATCGTGGTTTCTTTGAATTCTGAGACTTTCTGCTTCCCCTTAAGAAATCAAAAGAACTTGTTGAGATTTTGTTTATTTTCGTGGTTTTGATCTCACTGATAATTTATAGCATGTCATCTCTTAATATATTAAACTGTTCTACAGACCTTTGTGCAAAGCTTCCCCTATTTATTTTAAGGCACATTGTTCAGTGACAGAAAGAGGAAACCTCCAAATTGCGTTTTGCTAGTGCCTAAGACGCAAACAGGTGTGGGGTGTACTGTGCATAAACTTTCACCCCCTCAGTGATTTTAGAAGTACAGATTGTTTTTTCTCACCAGTCTTCTGTTTTCCTCATTTGATGGGTTGTTACTTCCCATCGTAGACTGCATATTGCTCTGAGAGCAGGAGTAGAGTAGGCACACGTACAAGGGTGCATGCTCCTAACAGCCTGTGGGGCAGATGTAGAGTTTACAGACTTTGTCCCTGGATGGATCTGCCAGGTGGACGTGATGGTGCCATCTCTGAGTGGTTGTGAACACCCTGGTCCATCTAGCTCCCATCACTGGGGGAAGGAGCACCAGGTAACGAGTCGGGAGATGCAGGCAGCATCCCGGCTCTGAGTCTGATGAATCCAGCCTGTCTCAGCCTCTCTGGGTTTCAGTTTCCCCAGTTTTTGAGTGACAGGAATCACGATCCCCAGATAACGTGGTAGGAATGGTGGTGCCAGTCCTGAGACTCAGTAGGAATTCTAAGTCATTGCTTTGGAAAAGAAGTATTAGCAAGAAATGAAGAAGAAAGGGGAAAGGGCATGTTTTCACATCAGTTTGTATTTCTACGACTAGAAAACATGCCTGAATGCTATACTTGGCTTTGGTCTCCAAAAGGCTTTACGTTTTCATAACGGCTTCAGGATAATCTGAAAACCTTAGCAAGTGACTGTTTTCTGTTCATTCACGTTCTAAAAATTAGTATAAAATCAAAGACACCTGTAAACCTCGTCGCACTCTTGGAGAAGTCCTAGTTGCATTTAGCAAACTACAGCCCATGGGCCCAGTCTGACCCATCACTTGTTTCTGTAAATAAAATTTTATTGGCACTCAACCACACCCATTTGTTTAGAATTGTCCATGACTGCTTTAGTGCTACAACTAGTTGACTTAGTTGCGACAGAGACCGAATGGCCCTCAAAGCCTAAAATATTTATGAGCTGGCCCTTGAAAAGTTTTCTGACCCCTACACTAGAGTATAACCCTTTGGGTCAATGCATTGTTCATTCTTTATCTTTCTCTCTTTTAAGCTGATAAACCCTTTGTTCAAACTCAGCAGCCTAATGTCTAATATGAAAAAAGCTGAGCTGTTGTGGTTGACACACTTAAAAGTGTTCTCATGGAACTACCACTAGAGTTTCCCCGAGACGTTCTCATTCAAATATCACACACACACAGCACTTTGTCATGTATGTGGCTGGTCATCAGTACTGCTGACTGCATTATTAAAATGACTTGTGTAAATGATTGCTAACCTTTAACAAGCACTTTACTACATGTGGTGGTCCATTTGATGCTCCCAGGATGGGAGGCAGGCCCTGGTAAGATGAATCTCGTTTCACAGGCTTTACTAACTTGCTAGGGGCACACTGTCATAAAGTGGAGGTGGACTTGGACCTCAGGCCTTGGGTTGCCAGTCATTACTGCACTTCGACTGGCACAGAATTCTAAAGAGTTCTTCGCATCCTCACCTCCTTCTTCCCCAGGGGCTCTGTTTTAAATTCATTTCTGATTTTCTACCTGTTTGTCAATTTTGACTCTACCAGGTGATGAGCCGTATGCTCAGTGAAAATGCACATTTGGAATTCTGTTAGTCTTTGGGTCACTATCTGCCATTATTAGTCAACCATGGCAAGAATAATAAGAATGTTGTCAAGTAATACCCAGGGAGGAAATGTAATTTACAGAGATACTGGCATTGACCCTCAGTGCATGCTTAACCCAAAGTGGCTAAAGTATATTTCACATTCTTAAAAGCTTTTGTGTAATTATTGTTTTGTTTTGTCCGGTGTATATTTAATGTAAACATTAGCAAGCAGAATGTGTTACGATTACTGATGTAGTGTGTGATATTCTATCAGAATGGTGAAAGAGTTTATATATTCTCCGCAGTGCCAGGTTTGTTTGTGAGTGGCTAAATTAAGAAAAGTTATACTCCACCAAACAAACAAATGTTAATTGGTCTAGAGTTGACCCAAAACATGGAGAACCAAGTTTCAAAGATATTCACTGCTCTGAATATTTCCTCTGAAAATTTCTACAATCAACACAACAATATAACCAGTTCTTCTTAAAGCCAAATCTTTATTATCGTTGACAGGGAGGTGGATAGGTTCCAATTAAGTCGGAAATTTCAGTTGATTAAGACTTAATTCCAGTGGTATTCACTGAGCTGCCTCTAGCTGCTTCCCTAAGTGTCTTCCCAACATCAGTAAGTCCATAAGAATTCATGATTTACTCTGTTTTCTGGGACAGAAATCATTTTTTTCCTGTTACTTATAGACCAGTAAATCGGAGCCTCACCCCTTGGTAATTCAATTTCTCTGCTGTACCTAGTATTCCCAATTCATGGAGTGATGGTCAGGGGAATTTTCAGAAAGGCCAGTTTCTGCAGCTCTTCGTTTGGAAAAGTGACAGAAAGATGTTTAGATATGCTGTGTTCCAGGTTTTTCAACAGTTTTCCATGTTTGGGGATGAGGGGGACTCCCCACCAATTTTGGTAGTTTTCCAAGTATCAGTTATGGCTGCTGTGTCTGGTGGAGTAGCCCCCAGCACGTATGGCTGTTGAGTTCATAAAATGTGGTCTCCTAGATGGTTACCTGTAAAACTCACGCTGGATTCCAAAGACCTAGATGAAAAAGAGAATGCCAAATATCTCATTAATATTTATATATTGATTACATGTTGAAACGATAATATTTTGGCCATAGTGGAGTGAAATAAAATATATTGTTAAGGTCCTTGGTCATGCCAGCGTGAAGGGAGGGCCCTGGGATGCACGGAGGGCGGTAAAGGACAGAAGGAAAGGAATTTCTGCTGTTCGAGGCACGTTGCTCAGGCCCCGCGCCCGCCGGTTCTCACGCACCTGGCGACCCCATCGTGATCGTGTGAGTACGGGGGAAGGTTGGTTTAGGGGCCTCTTCTGCTTTTCCTGTGCAAAAGAATCTGTCATCTGAGAATTTGGCCTTGTCTTTGCGCGTTCCTTTTTTGAACATTACATAAAGGTAAAAAGGCTGATGATTATATGAGAATATGCGACTGTCAAGTCATCCACGGAGTGACATCAGCATCGTGGCAGACTGAACCTTCCCCCTTAGACCCTCCCCCTCTAAGATACAACAAAAAGGACATTCATATACCAACAGAGGACGTTCACACAACACAAAGGACGTGTGAGTGACTCACACAGCCTTACATCTGAAGGTGGAGGTGCTGGTACCCCCAAAGAAGTGGAAGGAGGTAAGGAGAACTCCTCTCCTTCCCCAACAATAGCAAACCTGGGACCAGGACCGCGCGGCTCTCAGAGAGAGAGGGGCGGCCCTCTGCGGGAACACCATCACTCTCCAAGTTCTCTCACAGCCTGTGGGAAATTCCCATACGGAGGGGGCTGAACTTTTGTGGAGGTGTCTTCATGAAGCTAGCACCCCAGGAGAGCAGATAGCGAGGGAAGAACGAGAAGCCTCCAGGATTGGGCAGGCGAAGAAAGAACCCCTGCTCTCCACAAGAAAACCGTCGCTCTCCAAGGTCTCTCACAGCCTCTGGGAAATTCCCATATGAAGGGAACTGAACGGTTGTGGGGGTGCCTTCATCAAGCTAGCACCCCAAGAGAGCAGATAGCAAGGAAAGAGCGAGAAGCCCCTGGGATCGGGTAGGTGAAAGAAAGATCCCCTCCCCCCCGACCCGGAGCACCAGCACAACCAGCTGGCCAGAGCACCTGCAGATGGTGGTGGGCTCAGAATACACAGCTCTTGACCTCCCCCAGTGGCAGCAGGTGGAAGCTGCAACCAGATATTTTCAGAATGAGGAAAACTAAGCCCATGCCTTCAAGCAGTATGAGGAAATGTATTAAATCTCCAGACCAGAAGGAAAATGACAAGCACTCAGAAATCAGTCCTGAAGACACAGAAATTTATAACCTAAGCAACAGAATTAAAAATAGCTATCATAAAAAAGCTCAACAAACTACAAGAAAATACAGATAAGACAATTCAATGAAGTCAGGAACTTCTACATGAAAGAGATTGCTACAATCTCTTTTCTACATGAAAAACCGATCAGGACTGTTAGAGATGACAAACACGATAGAGGAGATAAAGAAAAATCTGGAATCTTTAAAGAACAGAGCTGACAATATGGAGGAAATAATTGCCATCATTGAGGATAGGAATGCAGAAATACTCCAGATGGAGGAGGAGAAAGAGAAGTAAGACCAAAAAGAAATGAAGAAATTCTCTGAGAAATATCCGAGTCAATTACCAAATGCAACATAAGGATTATAGGTATTCCAGAAGGAGAAGAGAGGGAAAAAGGAGCAGAGAGCTTCTTCAAAGAAATATTAGCTGAGAACTTCCGAAACCTGGAGAAGGAGCTGGAAATGCAAGTGAGTGAAATCAATAGATCTCCTAAATCTACCAACGTGAAAGGACCCTCTCCACGGCATATAGTAGTAAAGCTGGCAAAAGTCCATGATAGGGCCGGCCCCGTGGCTTAGCGGTTAAGTGCGCGCGCTCCGCGGCTGGCGGCCCGGGGTTCGGATCCCGGGTGCGCACCGACGTACCGCTTCTCCGGCCATGCTGAGGCCGCGTCCCACATACAGCAACTAGAAGGATGTGCGCCTATGACATACAACTATCTACTGGGGCTTTGGGGGGAAAATAAATAAATAAAATCTTTAAAAAAAAAA